ACCTGTAACGCAGCTAACACTGCAACTGTGGTATAAATACAGGATGGCCCACAACTTACATACAACTCTTTCACCCGCAATGCTCTTGCAAACGTTTGCCATACTGATACCTGACCTAAACATAAAGACCTGAGCGAGATGCGGCCTAACACACCTCCACCAGAACACACACCCATTCCCTTCACAGCCCTGCAGGGACAGTACCAACTTCCTACCAAGGCCGAGCTTGCCTACATGCAGACCAGGTCGTGGCTGGGAAAGAACAGGGGACTGAGCCCAAAGTATGAAAACAGGCAGCACCTGTCGTAGCTGGAACACACATGCATGCAACACAAACAAACCCAAAAAGTGATATCCTGCACATATCAAAGTGAACTCCAACAAACAGAAGTCCATAAGTTCCCCTTTGTGCAAGCGTTGGAAAAAGACCTAAAGAAACAATTAACGAATGACCAATGATTAAAAAAATTTCAGGCCAACAGGAGACTCACGCTTTGAACAACGCACATAGAAATTGCGAGAAAGATCCTATACCACTGGTACAAAGTGCCCACCAGATCAAAACAGATGAACCCCAGCAAATCAGATGCATGCTGAAGATGCGGCCAATCCCCATGCACTAAGCTACACATATGGTGGTCGTGCCCAAAACTACAAAAGTTTTGGACTAATATTCACGACCACATCAAACAGGCAACTACCATTAATCTCTCCGAAACACCAGAAACATTCATACTGCAACTCATTCCCATAACTATGCCCAAAGATAAACAATACCTGATATACCATATCCTCAAGGCGGCTCTAGCGGTCAGAAGCAAATCATGGCTGCCATCGGCGGCCCCACACATAGACACATGCATGGGTATTATACATACAACAAAAGGATATGAAGCCATGGACAGGTCCATTGCTACCCCACAAAAGTTCCGCAGGCATGGTCCCATGTCCAAACCAGTTCCAGAGAATCAGGGCTTGCGGTCGGTCTAGTTCGGTAATTTGAAAACGAACAAACTACCGAACAGTCAGTAGTCTTACCCTGGAGCTTGTTCCCCTAATCCAGATGAATGATTTCATCAAACAGTGCCTTTCTAAGTTGTATAGAACCGAACGCAGGTGATGATGGAAGTCCAGCGGTGTTCGGGAGTTTCTGTGTCCGATTTTAGTTCCATGAGATTCATGCCCAAACACCGCTGTCTGCGTTCATAGAAACATAGAAACATAGAATGTGACGGCAGATAAGAACCATTCGGCCCATCTAGTCTGCCCAATTTTCTAAATACTTTCATTAGTCCCTTGCCTTATCTTATAGTTAGGATAGCCTTATGCCTATCCCATGCATGCTTAAACTCCTTTACTGTGTTAACCTCTACCACTTCAGCTGGAAGGCTATTCCATGCATCCACTACCCTCTCAGTAAAGTAATACTTCCTGATATTATTTTTAAACCTTTGTCCCTCTAATTTAAGACTATGTCCTCTTGTTGTGGTAGTTTTTCTTCTTTTAAATATAGTCTCCTCCTTTACTGTGTTGATTCCCTTTATATATTTAAATGTTTCTATCATATCCCCCCTGTCTCGTCTTTCCTCCAAGCTATACATGTTAAGATCCTTTAACCTTTCCTGGTAAGTTTTATCCCGCAATCCATGAACCAGTTTAGTAGCCCTTCTCTGAACCCTCTCTAAGGTATCAATATCCTTCTGAAGATACGGTCTCCAGTACTGTGTACAATACTCCAAGTGAGGTCTCACCAGTGTTCTGTACAATGGCATGAGCACTTCCCTCTTTCTACTGCTAATACCTCTCCCTATACAACCAAGCATTCTGCTAGCATTTCCTGCTGCTCTATTACATTGTCTGCCTACCTTTAAGTCATCAGAAATAATCACCCCTAAATCCCTTTCCTCAGATGTTGAGGTTAGGACTCTATCAAATATTCTGTACTCTGCCCTTGGGTTTTTACGTCCAAGATGCATTATGTTGCACTTATCCACATTAAATGTCAGTTGCCACAATTCTGACCATTTTTCTAGTTTACCTAAATCATTTGCCATTTGGCTTATCCCTCCTGGAACATCAACCCTGTTACATATCTTAGTACCATCAGCAAAAAGACATACCTTACCATCAAGACCTTCTGCAATATCACTAATAAAAATATTAAAGAGAATGGGTCCAAGTACAGATCCCTGAGGTACCCCACTGGTGACAAGTCCAAGCTTCGAATATATTCCATTAACTACAACCCTCTGTTGCCTGTCACTCAGCCACTGCCTTACCCATTCAACAATATTGGAATCCAAACTTAAAGATTGCAGTTTATTGATAAGCCTTCTATGTGCAACAGTGTCAAAAGCCTTACTGAAATCTAGGTAAGCAATGTCTACTGCACCACCCTGATCTATAATTTTAGTTACCCAATCAAAAAAATCAATAAGATTAGTTTGGCATGATCTCCCTGAAGTAAACCCATGTTGTCTCTGATCTTGAAATCCATGTGTTTTTAGATGTTCAACAATCCTATCCTTTAACATGGTTTCCATCACTTTCCCCACTACTGAAGTAAGGCTTACTGGCCTATAGTTGCCCGACTCCTCCCTATTACCTTTCTTGTAAATGGGCACAACATTCGCTAACTTCCAATCTTCTGGGACTACTCCTGTTAACAATGATTGGTTAAATAAATCTGTTAATGGTTTTGCTAGTACACCACTAAGCTCTTTTAATAGCTTTGGGTGTATTCCATCAGGTCCCATTGACTTATTTGTCTTTACTTTTGACAGTTGAAATAGAACCTCTTCCTCTGTAAACTCACGTGTAATAAATGACTCATTTATCCTTTTTCTCAACTGAGGTCCCTTTCCTTCATTTTCATCTGTAAATACAGAACAAAAATATTCATTGAGGCAGTCAGCTAGACCTTTATCCTCTTCTACATACCTTCCTTCTTTTGTTTTTAATCTAATTAATCCTTGTTTTACTTTTCTTTTCTCATTTATGTATCTAAAAAAAAATGTTTTGTCCCCCTTTTTTACTGACTGTGCTATTTTCTCTTCTGTGTGTGATTTGGAAGCTTTTATAACTTGCTTAGCCTCTTCATTTTGTCTTCCTCACTCTGGGTTTTTTTATAATTACTAAATGCTAATTTTTTGTTTTTAACTATTTTGGCCACATCTGCGGAGTACCACAGTGGTTTCTTGAATTTTTTGCTTTTACTGACAAGCCTAATGCAATTTTCTGTTGCCTTCAATAGTGCAACTTTTAAATAATCCCATTTCTCTTGGACTCCATTTAAATTGCTCCAGGCTGATAATGACTCATCTACAGATATTCTTATTTTAGAAAAGTCTGTTTTTCTAAAGTCTAAAACTTTTGTTTTTGTGTGGTGTGACTCAGTCACTGTTCTTATATTAAACCACACTGACTGATGATCACTGGATCCTAAACTTTCACCTACAGTAATATCTGATACCAAATCTCCATTTGTTAACACTAAATCTAATATGGCCTCTTTACGAGTTGGCTCCTCAACAACTTGTTTTAGAGACAATCCCAGTAGGGAGTTTAGAATATGTGTGCTCATGGCACAAGTAGCTAATTTTGTTTTCCAATTTACATCAGGAAGATTAAAGTCACCCATGATGATAACTTCCCCCTTCATTGTCATTTTAGCTATTTCCTCAACTAGTAGATTATCTAACTCTTCAATTTGTCCTGGGGGCCTATAAATCACACCTACACGAGTTACTGTGTGATTACCAAATTCTAACGTAGCCCAAACGGACTCTATGTTTGTCTCACTAACTTTTATTAGGCTAGATTTTATGCTATCCTTCACATACAAGGCCACCCCTCCCCCTTTCTTGCCTTCCCTATCTTTCCTATATAAAGAGTACCCTGGTATTGCTATGTCCCAGTCATTTTTCTCATTATACCATGTCTCAGTAACAGCGACTAAATCTACATTATCGGTTGCCATTATTGCCACAAGTTCATGGATCTTATTCCCTAAACTGCAAGCATTTGTAGACATGACTCTAAGCTTATCATTTTTTAACACACTTGCTACAGGCACCTTCTGTCCTTGTTTTGGGGGACAATTGGATTGATGTTTTATCACCCTCTTGCCCCCCCTCCTAGTTTAAATACATCCTAGCAAAACCTCTGAACTGCTCACTGAGAACATTTGTTCCCTTTTGAGAAAGATGCAAACCAAGATGGCCGCCACTTCATGGTTGTCCATAGGAAATGCGGCCACCCAGATTAACAATTATAACACTGGAGTGAGAACCGTTCCAAGTTGTTAATAGGTATGAACAAGCTCCTGGGTGGTCTCCGGTTCGTGCGGTTGTTCGGTAATTGCAAGAACAGAGTCTTTTTGAAGTATTTTAGCCAGGTCTATTGAAGGGGCCATAGTCCTGGGGCAAGAGGCTGGCGAGCAGGCCCCTCCAAGAACCAGTGGTGAGGTTCTGTTCGCCACAATTATGCTGTCCAGTGAGGGATGTAATAATGCTGTCCAGTGAGGGATGTAATAATGCTGTCCAGAGAGGGATGTAATAATGCTGTCCAGTGAGGGATGTAATAATGCTGTCCAGTGAGGGATGTAATAATGCTGTCCAGTGAGGGATGTAATAATGCTGTCCAGAGAGGGATGTAATAATGCTGTCCAGAGAGGGATGTAATAATGCTGTCCAGAGAGGGATGTAATAATGCTGTCCAGAGAGGGATGTAATAATGCTGTCCAGTGAGGGATGTAATAATGCTGTCCAGAGAGGGATGTAATAATGCTGTCCAGTGAGGGATGTAATAATGCAGTCAGCGAGGGATGTAATAATGCTGTCCAGAGAGGGATGTAATAATGCTGTCCAGTGAGGGATGTAAGAATGTCAAAATGTGATGTAATAATGCTGTCCAGTGTGTAATGTGATAATGCTGTCCAGTGTGTAATGTGATAATGCTGTCCAGTGAGTGATGTAATAATGCTGTCTTGTAAAATCTCTAGTTTATAAGGCGAGAGCCCCTGATCTGCAGCGGGAGTGGACCACAACTGGTGCAATGCAACGTGAGCAACATAAAGCTGAGACATGGGAGAATGGTAAGATGTCATCTCAGATATAGGAGGGGGCATTATACCGAGATGGGGGGGGGCATTATACCAAGATGGGGGGAGGCATTATGCGAGATGGGGGACGTTATACCGAGATGGGGGGGGGGCATTATACCGAGATAGTGATAAGGTGTACATTATTCCAAAATATAGGGACATCATACAGAGATAGGGGGGGATTATATAGCTATAGGGGAGCATCTGAATTAGGGTGTCCCTGGGGAGGGAACTCGGAATTAGGGTGTCCCTGGGGGGCGGCTCTGAATTAAGTGTCCCTGGGGGAAGGGCTTTGAATTAGGGTGTACCCGGGGGAGGGCTTTGAATTAGGGTGTCTCTGAATTATGGTGTTCCAGAGATGTGCTCGGAATCAGGGTGTCCCTGGTGGGAACTCTGCATTAGGGTGTCCTTGGGGGGGCTCTGAATCAGGGTGTCCCTGGGAGGGGGGCGGAGCTGTGCATTAGGGTGTCCCTGGGAGGGGAGCTCTAAATAAGGGTGTTCTGGGGGGTGGGCTTTGCATTAAGGTGTCCCTGCCCCCATTTATGACATTTGTAACTCTTGGGTAAGAAATTGAAAGATTAGTTAAATGATAGAGATGAAGATGAGCTGTTAAAAGATGGAGATTTGGAACAGAGCGAGAGGTGGGCTGTGAGGTGTGGTGGCGATATTCTTACAGATATCTCTTTTACAGGCTGTGATTCATGTTATGTTTGACGTTGTCCCAAATGTTACCTGGCCTGACACAGTGAATATTAAAGCTGAAGTAATGAGGTAAGAAATGGGCAGACTGCCTCCACCCAGCCGGGGATTGTGAGACTGATTGTCAGACTGCCTCCACCCAGCCGGGGATTGTGAGACTGATTGTCAGACTGCATCCACCCAGCCGGGAATTGTGAGACTGATTGTCAGACTGCCTCCACCCAGCTGGGGATTGTGAGACTGATTGTCAGACTGCATCCACCCAGCCGGGGATTGTGAGGCTGATTGTCAGACTGCCTCCACCCAGGTGGGGATTGTGAGACTGATTGTTAGATTGCCTCCACACTCTGGGATTGTGAGACTGATTGTCAGATTGCATCCACCCAGCTGGGGATTGTGAGACTGATTGTTAGACTGCCTCCACACTCAGGGATTGTGAGACTGATTGTCAGACTGCCTCCACCCAGCCGGGGATTGTGAGACTGATTGTCAGACTGCATCCACCCAGCCGGGAATTGTGAGACTGATTGTCAGACTGCCTCCACCCAGCTGGGGATTGTGAGACTGATTGTCAGACTGCATCCACCCAGCCGGGGATTGTGAGACTGATTGTCAGACTGCCTCCACCCAGGTGGGGATTGTGAGACTGATTGTTAGATTGCCTCCACACTCTGGGATTGTGAGACTGATTGTCAGACTGCCTCCACCCAGCTGGGGATTGTGAGACTGATTGTCAGACTGCCTCCACACTCAGGGATTGTGAGACTGATTGTCAGACTGCATCCACCCAGCTGGGGATTGTGAGACTGATTGTCAGACTGCCTCCACCCAGCTGGGGATTGTGAGACTGATTGTCACACTGCCTCCACCCTGCTGGGGATTGTGAGACTGATTGTCAGAAATGAATGCATTGTTAGGAATGTTTTTTTTTCATGTATTTTCTTCTATTTCATCTCTTTCAGCATCAATGAGACAAACAGCTCTCTGTCTGACAACACAAAGATTCTGTCAGTTCCTGTGTTACATCCAATTAATGTCATCTCAAAAGGGTTTGTATAAACCTCACTGCATGTGTCTGCTGCGTACCCCCACGCTGCGTGCGTCTGCTGCGTACCCCCACGTTGCGTGCCTCTGCTGCATACCCCCACGTTGCGTGCCTCTGCTGCGTACCCCCACGTTGCGTGCCTCTGCTGCGTACCCCCACGCTGCGTGCGTCTGCTGCGTACCCCCACGCTGCTGCGTCTGCTGCGTCTGCTGCGTACCCCCACGCTGCTGCGTCTGCTGCGTACCCGCACGCTGACTGCCTCTGCTGCGTACCCCCACGCTGCGTGCGTCTGCTGCGTACCCCCCACGCTGCGTACGTCTGCTGCGTACCCCCACGCTGCGTGTCTGCTGCGTACCCCCCACGCTGCGTACGTCTGCTGCGTACCCCCACGCTGCGTGTCTGCTGCGTACCCCCACGCTGCGTGTCTGCTGCGTACCCCCACGCTGCGTGCGTCTGCTGCGTACCCCCACACTGCGTGTCTGCTATGCCTATATTTAAAGTGTGTATGTGGTTTGTATTCCTTACTCTATTGTAAGTGCCCCATACTCTATGCGAATCCTGTGAGTGTCCTATACCGTATGCTACTCCCGTGAGTGTCCTATACCGTATGCTACTCCCGTGAGTGTCCTATACCGTATGCTACTCCCGTGAGTGTCCTATAACGTATGCTACTCCCGTGAGTGTCCTATACCGTATGCTACTCCTGTGAGTGTCCTATAATGTATGCTACTCCCGTGAGTTTCCTATACCGTATGCTACTCCCGTGAGTGTCCTATAACGTATGCTACTCCTGTGAGTGTCCCTTACCAAACACTCCATACTGTGATGGATATAATAAAATGGAATCACTTTTAATACGATTAAAATATACGTGTCTTTTGCAGATTGGACAAGTCCACCAAATATTTGAATTTCAGTGACCCAGACCAGAGCCATGTTGTGACCCACATTTACCAGGTGACTTTATCACATTAATCAACATTTTTATTTCACGGCGTCGACCACCTACCACCATCACACTAAACCTGTGTACAGGGGGAAAAATAACTAAAACCCATTTATGACAATTAAACAATATCCAAGTGTTAAATGAAACCATTTATCAATCCACATGTGATAAACGTAACGATGGATAGAACGAATGTAACTAAATTCTTTAATGAATGTTACTGATGTATGGGTTTATAGCGAAGCTTTATGGTTTATTCAACAAATGCCGGTGATTTTGGGCGTGGTAACCTTGAAAACAGTATCCATACAAACTAGTGTGATGCTGCCCAATTTAACCCAAGATACGAGGAAAGACAATCATTCCACCTGCTGCCCCCATTAAACCCCCTGTAGCGGAGGCCTGGTATTTCACAGGTTATCTCCACTAAAGATCCCAGTGAGGCTCAGGAACAAGTAATAAAATCCCATATAACAATAAGTACAGCAAGCAAGGTAATCCACGAATATTCCCATACAGATCCCAACAGGGCCGGCGCTACCTGTAAGGCGGACTAGGCAGCCGCCTAGGGCGCCCCTTGGGAGGGGGCGCCGCCAGGAGCGCCGGCCCCGCTCATGCTGCAGCCGCCCGAGCGCTCTGTAAAGAGCCTCAGGCGGCTGCAGCTTGCCCGGGCTGGTGCGTGCCCATGAGGGCGGACCGCACCGCCCGGGCGCAGCCTGAGGAGAGGCTGACAGGAGGGAAGCGCTCAGCACTCCCACCTGTCAGCTCCCTCTCTGTAGCGTGGCCGAGCCCTCTATTGGTCCGACCGGTACAGATAGCAGCTGTCTCCTGTACCCGGCCGGACTAACAGGAAGTGAACACTGAGTGTTCACTTCCTGTTAGTCCGGCCGGGTACAGGAAACAACAGCTCCCTGTACCGGTCGGACTATACTGGGCTCGGCCACACTACCACACAGGTAGGGGAGGGAGGGGGAAGAAAGAGGGAGGAAGGGGGGAGAAGAAAAAAAAAGAAAGGGAGGGAGGGGGAGAAGACAAAAGAGAGGGAGGGAGGGGGAGAAGAAAGAAACAGGGAGGGAGGGAGGGGGGAGAAGAGAAGAAAGAAACAGAGAGGGAGGGAGGGGGAGAAGAAAGAAACAGAGAGGGAGGGAGGGGAGAAGAAAGAAAAACAGGAGGAGGGGGGGGAGAAGAAAAAAGAGAGTGGAGGGAGGGGGGGGAGTAAAGAAAGAAACAGGAAGGAGGGGGGAGAAGAAAAAAGAGAGTGGGAGGAGGGGAGAGGAAAGAAAACAGGGAGGGATGGGGAGAAGAAAGAAACAGGGAGGAGGGGGAGAAGAAAGAAACAGAGGGAGGAGGGGGGAGGTATGAAACAGGAAGGAGGGAGGGGAGAAGGAAATGGAGGGAGGGGGGAAGAAAGAAACAGGGAGGGGGAAAAAAGAGGGAGGGAGGGGGGAGAAGGAAACAGGGAGGGAGGGGGAGAAGGAAACAGAGAAGGAGGGGGAAGAAAGAAACAGGGAGGGGGGAAGAAGGAAACTGACAGGGGAGGGGGGAGAAAGAAACTGACAGGGGAGGGGGGAGAAAGAAACTAACAGGGGGGGGAGACATTGACGGGGAGAGAGAAATTGACAGGGAGGGGGGAGTGACAGGGGAGGGAGGGGGAATGAGAGTAACAAGGGAGGGGGGGAGAAGAGAGTGACAAGGGAGGGAGGATTGAAATCCATCACACACACACACACACAATCACACACAATGCACCCCTTACACACAAAGACAATGAACCCCTTGCACACAGAAAAACACACAATGCATTACACACAATGCATTACACACACACACACGCAATGCAACCCTTACACACAATGCATCCCTTGCACACACAGAAACACACAATGCATTCCTTACACACACTCAATGCACCCCTTACAGACTCACACACTTCATCCCTTACATACACAGAAACACACCTTGCAGCCCTTACACATACAAACACATATTCACAAAATGCATTCCTTACACACAAATCAGGACATTCCCTACACACTCCATCCCCTGTGAACAAACTCATTGGTGGAAAATGAAGGTGGACCCTGGGACCCAGACCTTGAGCTGTGTAAAGGGCCCCCAAAAAATGGAGCTGCTTCTCGTTCTCCCAGAACATTGATTTGTGTGACCACAGTTATAAACAGCCTCCAGAGAGCCTGTTGTACACCAGACCAGTGGAGCCAGACTGCAGCTAGAGCCCATCATCATCCTCATCTGCTTGTAAGTAGGTAATCTAGTATATTATTCGTGGCACTAATCTCTAATTTACCTCACATTAAAGAAACACTATAGTCCCCAGAACCACTGCACCTTAATGTAGTGGTCCTGGTGTCTATAGCCTGTCCCTACAGGCCTTTTAATGTAAACACAGCGGCACTGCAGCACTAGCGTTAGTTAACATGGCAGGTCATATGGGTGGGGCATTGCGATGTCACGGGGGGGAGGAGGGGGGCGTCAAACTTTACTTTTGCCTAGGGCGGCAAAAATCCTTGCACCGGCCCTGGATCCCAATGACTGGACGACACACAGCATCAGGAGCAGAACTGACTTTTAATCACACAACCTTCTTTTAAAGCTTTCTCCCATGCAAGGGAGGGATTCACATTAATTTGTACAGTAATGGTTACCTCCCACACATCTCCTCCCCTCAGTGTGACACATAATCCACTTATACATACTGCAGTTTTACCCGATTTCTGGATGTACCCCAAAACAGTCAGATATAATTGTATACGGGGTAGCCCCTGGTAGCCATGATCTGGGTGACCAACATATTCAAAATTCACCCAGATCGGACCAGGGGTTCGGGAGTTAGGTGGGAGAGACAATTTGACTGACCACACACGAGGTAGTATCCGAAAAAGGCTCCATGTGTTTTGGCCTTGCGGTCGGTCTCTGTTCGGGAGATAAAACATATAAAATTACTTGCCATCCAACGTTAAATCGGTATTCGTATGAATACCCTTGTTCGGTACATTTAGTTCACCGAACGAGGGGCTGATTGGCCCCTCCGTTCAGGAGTTATGGAGCTCTGGAGGTCTCAACAGTGTTCGGGTGATTGAGTGTCCGATTTGAGTTCCAGACACTCGACGACCAAACACCGCTAAGATTTTCTTGCGTAAGATGGCCGCCGCCACGCGGTTCGTATGCCAAACGGCGGCCACCCAGATATGTATACAAAGTACCGATTGCATGGTCAATTAGCTTGCGGTTACAGAAGTGTGAAAGCCTAACGAGGTACACACTTCTCTCTGGGGTAGTCTGATGGTTCGGTAGTTTTCATTCGTATAGAACACGGACTGAAACTACCGAACAATCAAATGAATGCTACATACAATACATCTATACAGGGGAATAATCACACAAAATACATTTTTAAAGCAAACTTTGAGGACAGCCCCATGCCATCCGCTACACCCCCATTCATTTCATTTTCCCCCCATGACAGTTTGAATATTTCTGTTTTTAACGGCACCCCGAGTATAGAAGGGGTTAAAGCCGTTTAGGATATTCCCTTCCCGAATGTAAAGGCAGCTACCGAACACTCAAATCAGCCGAACAAGAAAGCATACGAATAATCCACACTCCAAACAGCCGACAGGAAAACCATATGAATAATCCCCCCAAGTACGAGATGAGGCTCTGTATTGAGGGTCAAGCAGGAATCTGTTTAATCTGGGCTACCTGCCTGCCTTTTATGCAGGTCTCCCACCTGGTGGACACTCCCCTAGGGGACCTGGTGGAAAACTGAGACAAAATATTACATTAACCAATCACGACAGTGCAGAGATAAACACCCCCCTTGGAACAGTATAGGACCCTCCTCTCTATCCTGGAGATAGTAACTCAATTATCTCCGAGGATAGAGGAAA